TACTACTACTACTACTACTACTCCTACTCCTACTCCTACTACTACTACTACTACTACTACTACTACTACTAGCATTTCTACCACTACCACTACCACTACGACGACGACGACTACTACTACTGTTACTACTGCTCCCAGTACTACTGTTAACCAGAATAGCAATTATGCTACTGGTACTGCTGCTGCTACTACTACTACCACCACGACGACGAGTTCTACGACGACGACAATTACAACCGCTGACTACCGCTAACGCTACCGCTACCACTGCGACTGCTACTACTGCTGCTGCTACTGCTGCTCCTCCTCCTACTACTCCTCCTCTACTGCTACCGCTACTGCCACTCTACTACTACTACTACTACTACTACTACTACTACTCCTGCTACTACTACTACTACTACTACTACTACTACTATACTTCCACTACTAAGACTACGACGACGACGACGACGACGACGACTACTACTACTACTGCTACTAATACCACCACGACGATGATGTCTAGCACCAGGAACGGTGTGGTATTGTTTCGGTACGAATTCACAAGGCTGCCCGAGCTACCCTTCTCAAAGTCTCACACAAGGACCCTTTGCCTGTGGTGCATCGGCCACTGCTTGTCTACGCTGGGACTTCACTGCTGTGCCCACTGATCTCCTACAAGGTGCCCGACTTCATTCCGAAGCGCAGTGCCCAAGATATCCCGACCCTCCACAGAGACCTCAGTGCTTCGCTGTCCTCAGCATGCCACATGCGAGGGAACTTCTCACTGTTGAACAGAGCCGTTGCTGCTTGCATGGAAGTGTCACAACATACCCGAGGTGATGCAGTGGCAGCTTGGAGAATATCTTGAACAAAAGATCGTCGGATCTGGCAGTCTGGCAGGTGCAGTTCAGGTGTTGGGAAGGCTTGTGGTCAGGCTACAGCTCCAGGCTCGAAGCAGGATTTACCATTATCGAACAGGAGCTTGAAGGCCTGACAGCGTTCGGCATTCGCTCAGAGCATCCTGGTAGCGAAGGCACAATCACGCTGGAATTAAAACCCACACAATGCATATTTGCAGATTGCCCATTAAACAAGACAGTGCATAGGTCATGGGTCTACGTAAGGAGAAAGGCCCATGCCCAAGCCATCTTGGACCTATGTGCGGACATCTGCATCCGGGTCCGTCGAAGTCTGTTCCAGATCGATGTTGCAACTCGAGGCTTGGATTCCAAAGGGAGCGCTCCGGGGGGCTGTGTTACTGGAGCCTCGGCTGCCTTCTGAATAGGGTCGGTCAGACTGTCCGGCAGCGGTGCCGGAGACACACCGACATCAACTTCTGACCCGAAGCTCGCACTTGCCTTGTTGCAATTGTTTCCTCTTCACTTTGAAGGAGTTGCTGCAATGGTTTCTTCAATTGCCCAAGCCTACTACACACATTGTCCGTGAAGTTGCAAACCCGGGCGCTTGCAAAGTGTCCGGTAGCCAACCGTAACTTGTAACGAAGACTGCCATGCAAGCTGAGAGGAAGCGTCCTCGACGAACTGATGTCGATCCCCGCGACGATGTCTCTGCCCCCAGGTCGGAAAATTCGACATGCGATCTAAGTAAGTCTAGCCTTTTTTATTTGAACCACTCCGTTTTGCCAGGTCGTCGGCTAGACTCGACGTGAGTCTTTGTCCCATGTTCCTCACCGGGCCAACAACAATGAAAGTATCCTGCGTTAGTGTTAGCCAATATGGCAGACTGCTTTGCCACATTGCTTGGGTGACAGCCTCGTCCGGAGTTCGGCTTGAAGAACTAATGATGCAGAGATACACAGGTGGAGTCGAGCACGAGTAGCTTTGGCAGAAAAGGTGACTACTAAGTAGCTTCAGCATGTGGCGAAACTGCGTTAGCACTTCCTCCCTTCGATTGCACATTGTACAAGATGAGTTGCAGCAAAATCCAGGTAAAGTTGAGAATCCCTCGCGTAAATTACTTCCGTTTCCCGGCTCGTTCCGGAATAGTCGAGGCTCTTCTGATCTGATCCTACAATCAAGCCTCAGTATCATCGACTGACTCGCTTGTGCAAATGTATGTATATGCATGTGCCCGTACAGTATGCATATAATAATAATAATAATAATAATAATACATTTACATACACGTATGTGTATTCAATTGCGTGTGTGTGTGTGTGTGTGGGCGCGTTTCTGCACATGCCGAAAGCATTTCGGGCGAGTAGCTTGATGCTGGCTAACAAGCAGTCCGAAGGAGAGAGAGACAGCTCGGATCTGCTCGGGGGCAATCCTCGACAGAAGCAAGCAAGCAAGCTGGTAGGGGAGAGAGAGAGAGAGAGACAGAGCCCTCAACCTGCATCATACATGCGGGTGGGCCTGTGGCCCGGGGTCCTGACCGACCCCTGCCCGGGAGGGAGAGAGAGAGAGAGAGGTCTAGATATCATAGCGAAATATGCCACACCCGGGACTCGAGGCCCCGTAACTTTTCACGTCCCCTCAAAGCGCCATATCATATGGGGGGCCACAAGGCCGGGGGATCTAAACAGTCCCCCATGCCCAATGAAAGAGAGAGAGGGGGGGCGGGGTTTCTGCTGCTTGGCTGTGTGGAAGCAGAAGAAGAGAAAGAGAGAGAGAGAGAGAGAGAGATAGAGGGAGATGGACCCACAACCCTGTGGAAAGAAAGGGAGATGGACCCTTAAGCCCTGCAGAAAGGAGAGAGAGAGAGAGAGAGAGAGAGAGAGAGAGAGTGTGTGTGTGTGTGTGTATTCTGCACATTTCGTGTTTGCAAAAAGGCAAAGATGGCATCCTAGCGCATGTTTCTGTTGAGAGCATACGCTATTCGTGTTTTCATTATCGTATTCTTTATGGCTTTAGCCCATCGATCAGCTATGCTCGACTTTCACTCCCCGTGGCCCAACACAACGTTGGGGTGGGCCTGGCGCCCGGGGATGCTGACCCATCCCCATGCCCCGGAGGGAGAGAGAGAGAGAGAGAGAGACAGAGAGAGAGAGAGAGAGAGAGAGAGAGAGAGGTGCCCGGGGACGTTGACCCGTCCCCAAGTTTGGGAGAGCGAGAGAGAGATTGGTCAGGGAGCCTGACAAGCTCCTTTGCCCCTGTGGAAGAAGAAGAGAGAGAGAGAGAGAGAGAGAGTGCCTAAAAGGGGAGCAAATCCCCCTCTCCTTCAGACTCGGTCTTTATGTTTACTGTTCGTGCTGCTCTGTTGCCACAGGTCCTGGGGTTTCCCCTCACAATGCTTTTCTGAAGGAGACACTGCGGTACTCAGCAAGTAGGCAACTCCATGCAGACCTGAAAGTGCTATGAGGCGGCCGGGGAGTTTTTCCTGTACTCTACTTCTTAATGTTGTAGCTTGAGCGCAACTTTCTTGTACGGGCCACCTTTGCCTTTCTGTCGCATGCGGATCTCACCATTCGCTCCCCATATGTCGGGGGCGCTTAACGCGCGCGGGTGAGGGGGGCTTGTCTTCCCTTACCCCTAGCCCTGGTGAAAGAAAAGAGAGCGAGAGAGAGAGAGAGAGAGGGAGAGAGAGAGAGAGAGAGAGAGAGAAAAAAGAGAGAAAAGAGAGAGCGAGAGAGAGAGAGAGAGAGAGAGAGAGAGACAGAGAGAGAGAGAGGTGGCGAAAGAAAGAAAGAGAGAGAGAGAGAGGGGGCGGGGGCGGGGGTTCTGCTGCTTGGCTGTGTGGAAGCAGAGGGGGAGAGAGAGAGAGAGAAAGATTTTCCGGGGACTCTTTCTCCGAGCCCCCACAAGGCCCTAATAGCGGCGCGGGGAGTCTCACCAGCTCCTCGAACCCCGGAGAACAGAACAGAGAGAGAGAGAGAGAGTGAGAGAAAGCAAGGGCAACAGGGGGGCAGCAGCCCGCGCCGATCATACCATGAAGGCCACGGAGATCAGAGGATGCGCGGCAAGCGCTTCAAGTCAGCGCTTTTGCGCAGCGAGGCTGGCTCAAACACGAGTCGGACACATGGAAGGGGGTCGCCCACATGGGACCAAGACGAGGAGGAATGGGAGCGGATCCTTGCCGAGGGACCCAAGCCGCGAGAAAAGAAGCCTCCGGTGCAGAGAGGGGGGGCCAGCCAAAGCAGAAGCACATAGGACTGGGCCACGGTCCTCAACTTACACAACCTGCCGAGAAGGTCGCTTACACCTGAGAAGGGACAACGCCTACAAAGGCCCCACCCGACCGCACAACAAGCACAAGCCGCAGCGGGGGCACCAGACCCCAGGAGGAGACGCCAAGGCCCCAGCACGGACACACAGGTACAATCACCAGAAGACGAGCCAGAAGAGACGCCACTGCTCTGGGACGGAGTGTTCCATACTATGACCATATCGCTGGGGTGAGCCGACAAGCCACTTACTTTCCCACCAGAGATCCCAACAGCAGTGGGGGTCGATGTCCACATGCGCAGCTTGCCACATGGAGTTTGGGCCGGGGGCACAATGGTGACAGACTCGAGACGCAGCCCGGAATACAGACGGGGGCCCGGGATACTGCAGAGCCCGACTTCGCCGACGACAAGGAGGAGCCCAACCGACAGGATACATGAGCGTGGGCACAGCCTTTGTCCTCTTTCCGTGGGGGAACGTCCGGAAGGGCGTGCCGCGCAAGTGGCTGCTACATATCACAGCAGTGCAGTCGCACCCAGACGAGGAAGCTGGAGCACACGCCGCAGAGAATCTGGGAACTGGGGACCCTCCCCCCAAAGCTGGCCTTGCAGTACTACTATGATTGGGGCAACATGCAGAATACGGGGGCCATTCAGGCGCACGGCTACCATGGCACCTTCGCACTGGGAGCTCATGGCCCTTGTTCCGCCGCCGGACAGGCCAAGATGGCCGGCCAGGAATCCCACCTTCCCGGTGGACAGTCAGCAAAGGGGGGAAATCTCCGGGGATCCAGCGCCTCCTCCGGACGACACGCAGGGGGGAGCAGAGGACGAAGATGCAGACCAACATGACGCCACCAACCTCATGCAGCAAACTCAGTTGCCTCTTCCAGCCATGGCCCGGATGGGACAGCTGCGCCGACGTGGGGGAGAACACGGCTCAGCAACGCAGCAGCTATGGTCCGCCGCTGGCTCCGAGAACTTGCCGCGTACATCCGGACCTATCCCATGGGGGGCGAGATCCCGCTCATGCTGGAACAAGCAATGGAAGCGGTTGGCCGATGCAGAGAGCCCATCGACCGCTACCAAGACGACGGATGTGTGGGGGGACCAGGGCCGGTAAAGAAGAGAAGGGTGATTAACTACCTCTCGGTGGCGCGCATGCGACTGCAAGACATGACGGACGAGGACGCCATGATGAACGACCCGGGGCAACACGTGATCTATGAGGGGCTCCAGAGAGCGCTGACAGACCTTGACATGGGGGAGATTCTCTTCCAACGAGCCACTACAGGCCAGTGGGGCCATCAGGTCCAGCAAGGGTTGGAGGGGATCCACCAAGCCCAGCGAGCAGTACAAAACGCCATGGGGGAGGCCAGCATGGGGGACATCGACTGGCTGGTTTCAGGTCGGGGAGACGCAGTGGCTATTCTCCTTGAAGATGCTGAGAGCCTTCTGGAAGAAGAAGGCCAACTGGACTTCGTCCACCCGTCTGATGTGGCAGCCATGGACGAAGGAGCCGAAGAGTTCCCTCCGATCAGAGGGGGGACACCTGAACAGCAGCTGGCTGGCCTCCTTCGAGATATTCGTGCAGTCATGAATTTCGTCACGGCTGGGGGAACGCAAGTCACGGCGTTGTTGGCCGCAGTGCTGTCGGCCCAGCAGCGCAATGTGGGGGAAAGCATACATGTCGAGACGCAGTCCACAGACGAAGGGGACGCTGCTGTGTTGCGGCCAGGCCCTGTCACTGCTGAACCGAACGAGGGGACCAAGTGGGTTCCGCCACTGCATGCAGCGCAATGGTCTGGGGGAAACGACAGTCAAGTGGACGCACCGCTCTCACCCACGGACGCTGATCTGGTGCAAGCCCTTGAAGAGTTTGAACGCAGAGAACAAGAAGACGCCGTGGAAGCAACCCGGATGGGGAACTCAACCGCATCCAGACCTGAGGGGGGCCACAGTGAAGACGATAGCCCAGCAAGCCACCGTAGGAGGCGGATGCATGCAGGCATGCCAGATTTATGACCATGGATGTACCTTTTAGGATTGTTTTGACAGTTGGGGGACATGCTGCATGTGCTCGCGTGAACATGTCTCGGCCAGGCCCTCAGATCGTTGTCGTGATGTCAGTACTGATTGTCGTTGCAGTGTCTATGATGCCAACATGTGGGAAGCCGTGACATGCATGCAGTGAGCTGACAGAGAGTGGTATGCAGTTGGGGGTCACCTATCATTTCCAGCTGCTAAACAGTGTTTGATTACGTTGGGGGGACAACAAGGAGCCTTCATGATGATGTCAGCATTGAACAGTTACCCTTGACGCGCTTGCCGGTACACCGAGAAAATTCTCGGCACCCTTATGCTGGGGGGCCGGGGGCTCGACAACAACCTGATGGTAGGCTAAGTGTGTACTCGAGTGATGTTGTACACGTAGATTTGCTGTCGTGTTTGCAGA